GAACTTGACCGGCTCCTGTTCTCTCCACTTGCTGACATGTGACAATGGCAGATGTTGTGCAAGGGACGGTGACTGTTTCACAATGGACTGCAAGTCGAGATAGTAAAGTTTCTCTCAAGTCCGTTTTGGCGGTTTGCCATGAGCGAGGGTCGAACGACGATCTCCGAGGCGTCACATGGATGCGGTACAGGTAGTCAACCCAGAATTCCCTGTAATATTGTTTGGAGCGCCACCAATGCAGGAAGGACTCATGGTGGAAGGGTTCGCTGCTCAACATGTCATGTACCCCAGCTGAAAGTTTCTTGGGGATGAAACGCTGCCCCCCATCCGCGGCCATGTATACTGCTTGCGCTGCAGGTACGTAGATCTCCGTGAGACTCCAATCACAACGCTCTGGCCAAGACAGGAACGGAGTCTTCTTGCTCGTCACTGCCACTTGAGGATGGCCACAGGCACTCATGATCATGCGCACTGAGTGCACATGTAAACGGGAACAGCCACTCCTTGTGCGATGTCGTAGCGCATCCCCAGGGCTCCAAGTGCAGGTCTACTCAGGAGCAGGGGCACATCTGCGCCCGCCGCACTGATCTTCACGGCAAACCACGAGCCGTGGATCGCCAGCCATGTGACCAGGGCTTGCTTTGAGGGGTATAGTCGTTCTCGATGAAGTAGGGGATTCCTGCTTTCCGCAGGTAGTTGAGGAAACTCATAGTCCAACCCTGTTGGACAGGAACATTGGTGTGGAATTCCCCTGGTCAACCTCAGGGTCCACAGCATAGCAAGTCCACACCATGTCATCGTCCTGGCATAGCGCGCCCCGCCGCCCTGGTACTTCTCAAGGTCGTTCGTCGTGTCCAGGTTCGCTGTGACATAGACCACGTGGGTTGTGTGTGTGTGTCTCAACCCCTTGTTTTCCTTTGTTGGCGGGACACTCAGGATCCTTGTGCCAATGTCCCTTCTTGTGGCACACGGAACAGTAGCTCTGGGCGCTTGTTGCAATCGCTCGTCCTTGGACTGAGTGAATACACGTTCCTTTAAGGCTGCCCGGTACTTGCTCTTGGCGTTGCGGAACGCCGCAAAGGCCTCATGGGTGTGATCGATGTCGGTGAGTCCAGGTTCGTCGTCGTCCTCGTCCTCATCATCCAACGAGGTCATGAGAGCCTGGTGCCCTTTTCTTTTGTCCTCAGTCCTCTTGTCCCCGTCTTGTCGCCTTTCCCACAGGCGGCGGTTCATCCTGTCTTGGATGACAGCTGCGTCTTGGAGCTTCTGGAGGTTGTATAGGTTGCCAACCGGTGAAAGAAGGTTCAACTCGTTGTCCAACCTCATCTTATCCACATACCACCAAGCCAGGCAGGTGTCCGGGAGAGTGCAACCAACCTCGCGCAGTCGACTGATCTGCCTGTCACGGATGTCCTGCTTGGCCGACTTCTTTAGGACCTTGAAAAAGTTGGACACGTAGCGGCCAACCTTCGTGACCTCCCGGTCCATGTACTTGTCCTTGATCCAGGATAGGAAGATCACCCCGTTGTCGGTGTCCAAGAGGGACAGGTCCAGCTCCTCCGCACCCCGCCAGGCCCTACCTGACAGGCTGTTGTGCAGCATGAGAGCTTGCTTGCCTCGTGAAAGGCGGGTGACTCTTCTCCAGGCCTCTACCTTCCGGATGTACCCTTTTGCCTTCAACCCATCACGATCATCTTCTCCCGAGTACTCCGGAACCTGGGTTTTGTCCTGTCCTCCACCTCCATGCCGGCGGTCGTCGCCCATCCATGGATCCCCACCTTGAGCGGTCCACCAAGCACCACCCTCAGAAACCTGTGGAGCTGTTGGTGCTGCTGAACCCTCTATCGAAGAAGACGGTCCTTGCCCATGCATTCCCCCGAGTCGAGCCACCTCCTCCACTAGGTCCAGGCCCCCAGGCATAGAAGCTGTTCCATTGCCTCCACTCCTCTTCTGACCAGCCCCTTCGCCCCCAAGACTGCTCTGAGGTTCTTTGAGAGGTAGTTTCCTCTTCTCGTTCTTTATCTTGACCTTCTCCATCTTCAGCGCCATTCTGGCGCCTGGCGATGGCATCGCGACTGCGATCCTCCACCACGTAGCCCCCAGAGCCACCCACAAAGACCCCGATCTCCACCAACCGTGCCCACCGAGCGCGGGACAGGCTCAACGCTACCAATGTAAAACACGCAAAGTCGCTACCTTTTCACTTTCAAACAACCCTTGTGCCTATATGGCAGTCGGGACAGCTGGGTCAACAGGGAGCATGCATTCACAGTAACAAAGGGCATGACGACTACTAGTAGCATTCCTACTACTAGGAGCAAGAAGCTACTAGGGACAAGGACACCGCTACTGGTAACAAACGGCATTACTACTACGAGTCGCAGTCATATAACTAGTAGCAAGAAGCTATTAGGGACAAGGGCAGCGCTACTAGTATCAAAGGGTTTTACTACTACAAGTAGTTCCCGGGCAAGCCGGCGGTGGAAGTTTCCTATAAGAAGAAATTGACCTATAGGAGTGTCCACGTTCTCTCCAACATGCGCGTCCTCCAGTCAAACGCACGCACTAGAAAGTCGCCAGTTCTCACCATCCAGCTCCACAGATACTCCGCGTACTAAAGTTGTACTACAAAGTCGCCAGTTCTCAGCTTCCAGCTCTACAGATTGCTCCGCGTACTAAAGTTGTACTAGAAAGTCGCCAGTTCTCATCATCCAGCTCCACAGATACTCCGCGTAGTAAAGTTGTACTACAAAGTCGCCAGTTCTCCTCGTCCAGCTCGCCAGATACTCCGTGTACTAAGGTTGTACTACGAAGTCGCCAGTTCTCAGCTTCTAGCTGCACAGACTGCTCCGCGTACTGAAGTTACTGAAGTTGCACCACAAAGTCGCCAGTTCTCATCGTCCAGCTTGCCAGATACTCCGCGTACTAAAGTTGTACTACAATGTCGCCAGTTCTCAGCTTCCAGCTCTACAGATTGCTCCGCGTACTAAGGTTGTACTAGAAAGTCGCCAGTTCTCAGCTTCCAGCTCTACGGATTGCTCCGCGTACTAGAGTTGTACTAGAAAGTCGCCAGGTCTCAGCTTCCAGCTCTACAGATTGCTCCGCGTACTAAAGTTGTACTAGAAAGTCGCCAGTTCTCAGCTTCCAGCTCCACAGATACTCCGCGTACT